AAAACCCAATAGAGATGCTATGGAATGACTTGAAGAGAGCCATACACGTGAGATGTCCAAAGAATATGACAGAGCTACAGCAGTTCTGCCAGGAAGAATGGGCTAAAATCCCTCCTGAACGATGTGCAGGTCTGATCCACAGCTACAGGAAGCGCCTGGTTGAGGTTATTGCTGCCGGGGTGTGTGTGTGTGTGTGTCAACCAGTTATTGATTCCAAGGGTTCACTTACTTCTTCCACTGGCATTTTGAATGTTGAATGAATGTGTTCAATAAAGACATGAAGGATCAGAATTGTTTTTGTATTATTTTAGGCACATTATATTTGTCAATACTCTTGACTTCGATGATGGTCAGATCACATTTTATGACAAATTAATGCAGAACACCATGAAATTCCAAAAGGTTCACATACTTTTTCTTGCAACTGTATATTGAATGGTCATTTAAATGTTGATATTCTATCAAATCAGGATAATGAAAAATATTGACATGAGTTAAGTTCCATTTGAAAGTAAGACACATGAAGGTAAGACACATGAAAACTATAGTCCATACTCTAAAATAGACAAATTATATATGTATGTGTATGTGTGTGCGTGTGTGAAAATCCCCCAAATTTCTCCCCAAAACAGCCACTATTTATTACACTATTTCTATACTATCCTGTTCCAAAATGACTCTAGGCAGTTTACAACAGAACAAACATAAAAATAAAGCACTAAATCAAACAGATTAAAGTAACAATTCCATAAAACTTTTAAAATAAAAATTATATGGCCACAAAAATATTAAGCGTGGCTTATGAACACAAAAAGATTGGCTCTGTTGCAGCAAGTTCAGGTTCTCAGTCCTATGAAGTATTTACAGCCCAATCCTATTCTGCTTAAGGTATGCCTAAATCCACTGAGTTCAGCGGGCTGTGGTTATTTATTCTGTCTGTATCAGACTCATACTTGAATATAAATCACAATGTATCTGGAGCAGGTAGTTCCCAGTAAATAGCCATTGCACTACATTATTTTTTTTATAATCTTACAAGAGTGCAGCAAGAAAAAAGTAAGAAATATCCCCTTCCTCCATTTGTTCTGGCTCTTATAAGTTACACAAGAGAAGAAAAATAACCAGAATGTAATTGACAAAAACGAATAGAATCTACATATCTTATTCAATGATAAAATAAAAGCTATCACTGGTTTTCATGACACCAAGACACAGTAAACCTGCATATCCTCTTTGTGTTCAAAGCTAGAAATAAAACAATATGTTACTAAGCTACCACTGGAGACAGAAAAAAAGTGAACTCTAGACAGAAACAATTTTCTACATAGACAGCTGAATCCCTAGCCACCTCCCATGTAAGAGGCCTGATTCTGTTATCTTTCAATAGGATTGGGAAAAAATCCGTATTGCTTTCTAAGACTCTATAAGTGGAATGCAACTTGGCTGGTACAGAAAAATGAAAAGGGCAGTTGCTGAGTAAAGTGCTATGCACTATTTCAGCAGTTGGGCCAACAGGGCTGGAATTTGATATTCATAGACATTTGGGGCAGGGAGAGAAGAGGAGGAACCCTGTCATCTTTCTCTGTCCTTAGCTGGAATAATTGAGAAAATACTAATCACTATGTAGGGTACTAGTTTCTCATCAGGCAGCAAATGTAGCCAGTGCCAAGAATGAAGAAAAAAATAAACAAACCAAATGCCCTGCTGCTATTCTTTGGTTTGCTCAGCTGGGCAGAACTGAAACAAAACTGACAAAACAGAATTAGCCTCTTGTAGTCAAATGTGCAGGCTTGTTCTGCTGAAATGTAAAACTGCCACTGTCTTTGTGACTTTCTCTGTTTCTCTAGTATCTCTTCACACTCTGTACTTTTCTTTAAAAGAGCAAACTGAACCACCAACAGATTAACCAACAGAGCCTGGAGATATGATTGCAAAAGAAAGCTATTATTGTTTATTTCACTCAACTTGCTGCTTTCCATTCTTCACAGAAACAGTTTTGAGGTTCTGGTTAACAGTGGACCTTCTGCTCTTGGGATGGCACTTAGCCCAAACACTGTTCCCAACACCAGCTTACTCATCATGTAAATCAGGAAATATGCAAAACAGTGCTCAGTTGTAGGTTTTCCATACCTGAAACACTTTCCCAAGCACTGTGTGGTGCCATAGTTAATATAAGTCATAAAAAAAAATACTATACATTTTCTCCAGGCCACTGAGATCAACAACATACATCATCTGATGCTGCTTCAGACTCTTCTATAAAAAGATCAGACTATCTATATTTTATAGAAGCAGCCAGAAATGTGTCTGAGCATTCCCCACTAGTAATTATTTTCTAAGGAACAAATTCACCTGACTTTTGTTATCTTAATAAAATAAATGGTATTTCTTAACTTGCTTCTCAGACTACTTAAGATAAGGCATTAGGCATACTCACTCTCAATAGCCAAGTAAATTTTTCTTTCCCCCTCCTTGGGCTCTTTGCCTGGAGGAAAATAGGTTCCTCTGATTGTAATGGCAGCTTCAGAATATTCACTTATTCTGTGCAGTGCTTCCTTTGAGGTTACTTTCCATCTAGCAGTCTGCAAAAGAAAGTGATAAAAAATAGGAAAATGTCAGGTGAAATTCTAAATAAGATGAATTCACAAAAATTGCATGATAGCGTTATCAGATATTCACAATGGTATCTACATATTTAGGTTCTGTTCACTGGGAAAAAAATGCATCTGCATAACATTTTACAGAAACTGTCAAGAAAGCTTGATTTAATAAATTTATCTCTCTTTCCGAAAATACTGTTTGAACTAACTTTAAAAAGTTTAGCATTTCTTTCTGTACCAGAATTCATCTATGCACTATTATCAGATTACTTATTTTATAGTTTCATTCTCAATTCAAATAATGTGATTTTGTGGATTTCATTTATTAAAGGTAGAGAGTATTTTTATTTTGATACTAAGCTTTAAAAATACAATATGATTATAATCAACAACATTCTATAA